CCCCCGCCCCGCAGCAGGTAACCCCGGCCCCCGCCCCGCATCTGGACCTTGCACCCGCGGCCCTGCACATCGGCGGGGGACCCCGACCCCGCAGCCCGACACTGGCAGTGTGAGCCACATGGTCCCGCACCCTGCTGTGATGTGGGTTTTGGTGTGACTGTGTGGGTTGGTGAACTTGGTGCGACCCCGCACGGGCTGCACGCCGGTGACGCCGCACATGTGCAGCTCCCAAAGACAAGAAAAAAAAAAAAAAAGGTGAAAAATAAGTGTAAGGAAAAAAAAAAAAAAAAAAAAAAGATGCAAAGGACAGACTGATGTGTGTTGTTTGTTTGTCTTTTGACGGCACACAGCACAACATGTGTTGTGTGTCCCATAATATTCTGCCAGTCATTGCGCATGGACTGGCTGCCCACAAACCTAGAAAAAGAGTGTGGGCTGAAGGCAATGAGGCATCAAGGCATCCCATTGCTCATGCAAGCCGGAGCTTTGCAGCGGCCCATTCTGGATTTGTGAGCCACTTCACCATTTTCATTGAGGTAAGTGCGTCTCACAACGGTCATGGAGTCTGGCACATGCCGTGGGGTCTTTTTTTTTTTTTTCTTTCTTCTTTCTTTCTTGATGATGGGTGAACCACCATGAGCGGCAATGCATGGGGGGGGTTAGGGGGAAAGGGTTGTATGGCTGCAACAAGTTGGCAATGACGGGACGCCGTGGAATGTGTCCTTTTTTTTTTTTTTTTTTTTTTTCTTAATGACTAGGTTACCAATGGTCCGGGGGCCGGTCGTCTCCCCCGGAAATCGCCCCATACGTCCGGTACCCCCGTCGTCTGGAAAAACAAAGTGTTTTTTTCGAAAAAATATATATATATATATATTTTTTTCGGTTTTTGATTTTTAACTCATGATTGGATGCGAATTTGAACATGACTCCAAGGCAAACGTTGCTTGTATTGTTATGTTACATAACATATATTTGTTTCAGATTTTTCTGAGATTTGTTTCTTTTTTTTGCACTAGGTCGGACATACCCTGTCCAGTCAGACGTCCGACCAGACGTCCGGTCGGACATCAGGGACGGTCAGGGGGGTCCCGGGCGTCCGATCCAACAACCTATTAATGATGACATTGATGAGTGAACCGCCATAAGCGGCAATGCATGGGGGGCTTAGGGGGAAAGGGTTGTGTAGGTGCGGCAA